GCATGATTCTCGTTCCTGTGTGTAACGTGTTTTGGGGTCCTGTTGGAGACTTTCTCCGGTCAGGGAGCTTTGGGTTTTTTTGTTTGGTCAGAAAGTTGATAGAAAGTAGATAAATAACTTTAGACTTTAATACAGGCTTTGATAGGCCGGGATCAGATCAGAAAAAAGCTGGATCTAGACGTCCCTAGAATAGAGTTCATGTGACATAAGCTGAGCCCTCATACTCCAGTCAGAGTAATCCTGTGTGTGTCATTCCTGAGTGTAACCTGTTTTGGGGTTTTGATTTTTTAAAGAGGTAAAAAACCCTAAATCACCCATTAGCATTAGCATCTGTAAACCACAGGTCTGTGTCCTAACCATTAAGTTGTTATCAGAGTAAATCCCTGTTCAACATGAGTCTGACAGCTAAGTAAGTAAATAAATAACTTTAGACTTTAGTAAAGGCCGGGATTGGAAAAAACCTGGATGGGGACCTCCCTAGCGTAGAGTTCATGTGACATAAGCTGAGCCCTCATACTCCTGTCAGAGTAGACCTGTGTGTCTCGTTCCTGTGTGTAACCTGTTTTGGGGTTTTGGGGTCTGTGTCCTAGTCCTAGACTTTAGTACAGGCTCTGATAGGTCGGGATCAGATCAGAATAACAAAAAGCTGGATGGGGACGTCCATAGAATAGAGTTCATGTGACATAAGTTGAGCCCTCATACTCCAGTCAGAGGACCTGTGTTTTTTTTTATTATGTTATGTTATGTTATTTTATGTATTTATTTCTTTAATCAGGACAGTGCACATTAATGAACAATCTCATACAGATTGTAAATGAGCCAGATTCTAGCATAGTTGCTAGTTTACATCTGTGGTCCTGACAACACAAAATCACACAATACAAAATCAGTCCAAACACACGTTCAGACAATGACATTACAAAATTAAAATGAGTGATTGCATGATTCTCGTTCCTGAGTGTAACATATTTCGGGGTCCCCCCCTGCAGACGTGGGGCGGGGCGTGCACGTTTTGCACGTGCTGTCGGCGGTGCGTCAGCGCTTCAGTCTGAACGTGAGCCGCGGCGCTCTGGAGCTGGTTCTGTCGGCCCTGGAGCTCAGCAGCGACATCATCAGCACCGGAGGCAGCCATTACACCGCCGTATGACATCACCGTGACATCACAGTGACATCACAGTGTGACCTGACCATGTGACCCCACTGTGTGACCCCACACACCCCTCAAATATTCATCCTGTTTGGTTTCTCTT